CAATTATTATATGCGAGATTATTCGTGCACATTCCTGCATAAAGATAAAAGATTTATTGCTTTCTCCATTCAATATTTTAATGACCAAAAATTTTCATAAATATAAATGAAATATCTGTCAAATGTAATAGATACTCTATTTTCTGACAGTTTTTATGATAATAAGTAATGTCTGGAGACATTACTTATTATCATAAAAATTAATTAACTGTACCCAACACTTTCTTATAACTGGATAATAATACCAATAAGGACATTGAAAATTTGCAAATGTTAATGGCTAAATTAATTCAAAACTATTCAAAGCAAATATTGACCATTTGAGTAAGTTTTAAGTATAAATCATCAGCAATCAAAAATAGAAATGGGATTTATATATTTAAATAAATCTTTTCTGTCTATTCATACCGAACACATTGAAACATCAAACAAAAAATTTACTTTTGAGGAAGTGAGTTGGTGATATGATAACTTGGTCATGCTTGTTACTATTCTGCTTCATAAGAAACATTTAAATCTCAAATACATAGAAGCTCTGCAAGCATCAATCAGGTCTATTTCTTAACTTATCTAAATGTTTTGTGTTTGATGAGTTATTGGGTTGTTCGGAAAGTAATTTCATTCTTTTATTACTAGAGGAATTACAGTTGACCCCTCCTATAACACTGTTGATTTTTCTGTTTTATATGAATTCCATGTTGCACGAGTAACTTAGATTTTACAAATAAGTGTGCCGGGCTGTGAACAGCTCATGTATTTGTAAAATCTAAGTGACTCGTATAACATGGAATTCATATAAAACGAAAAAATCAACAGTGTTATAGTGGGGTCGACTTGTAGATGTATTTTTACCAGCCAATTTCATTTAAAATTAAATTTTCATTACATACTTTGATAGCTGACATTTTAAGGCTTATTTGTAAAAAATTTTGTTTGATTCTGTACAATTGTTTTTTTTGGTGTCCCATTAAATATGGAAAAATCAAAAGCATCATTTTTGGCATATTTTGCTTTTTTATTACCAAAAAATCAAAATGCTGTTCAATCAAGAAAAAAATTGTGGTACATGTATAGAGAAGATGTGTTGAGAGCAAGACAGTGCCAAAACTGGTTTACAAAATTTCTTTCTTGCAATTTCAATATTGAAGATGCACCACATTCTGGATGGCCAGTTGAAGCCAATGAAAACAAAATAAAGGTACTGATTGAAGCAAACTGCCAAATAGCAACACATAAAATCACTAAGAGATTAAATTTGTTGAACTGAACAGTTTATGATTACTTGAAACGAATCGGTTTCGTTTCAAAGCTTGATATATGGGTTCCACATGTTCTTAAAGAGAGTTGCTCTCTTTAGTGGGATTTTTTACCAGACAATTTAACAATTGATTCGAAAGTGAGTAAACTTTTGAATCAAGTAAATAAATTGAGTAATATTATCAAACAGAAAAGGCCAGAATTGATCAACAAAAAAAGGTGTAGTATTTTACCATGATAATGCCAAATTTCACACAAGTTTGGTAACTCGTCAGAAACTGTTACAGCTTAGATTTTATGTGCTATCATACCAACCATAATCGCCAGATCATTACTTGTTCTGGTCTATACAAAATTTTTTAAACTGTAAGACATTTACTTGAAATGAAAATGTCAAAAATCACTTGGACTCACTTTTTGTAAGCAAAGATCAAAACATTTATGAACATGGAATCATGCTACTACCAGAAATGATGACAACAGGTATTTGACCAAAATGGTCGATATATAATTCAATAAAACATTTATTTATTATAAAAATATTGTTTTTTTTCCATGGAAAAAACACTAAACTACTTTCCGAACAACCCAATAAATCATCACTCAGTTACAGAATGTGATATGGGTTTTTCAAGTACACATATTTAGATTTTCACTTATACAAGTCTAAGTAATCTTCTCTTATAACAAATTTTCATCTAGTTTTCTCTTTGATCTGTCTTGCAACCAACTTCAAACAATGAATGACATACCAAAACCCACTTTATGAAAAATATTGAGTTCATAATATAAAAACAAATTTCTACAACAAAAATATCCTTGATGTGGCTGATGTATTAAAATGAAATTAATTTATCAATAGTAAAAGAAATGTAAGTTGTTATTAAAAATTTATACAGAGGTGGCCAAACCTTATCACAATAAGAGACATACATTGCTTATAATAAAAATACACAAGAGCACATTCTCTATTATAACAGTATTATATATTATATACAATTTGTTACACTACAGGAGCCACCAGTAATGGTATAGAAGAGCCATTTGCAGCTTGTAAGTGGCACTTTGGCCACTTTAAGAATAAGAATTGTATATCCATCCAATGTGTAAAACAAACTCATTGATATAATATTTGTTTTTGACCAATCTAATTAAAAAAAATCTAGCAACAAATTGTGTAACTTTCCTCAGAAACATTTAAAATTGCTTGTGGCATCATCTGTTTTGATATTTTATCAAAAAACTTTTTATATATACAGTTAATTATTATAAAATTACAAAAAGCTTAATTCTGAGGGTAGAGAAGCATTTTATAAAAAAAACTAAACTCTAATAACAAGTGTAAAAATCTTCATTAGGTTTAATTCCATCTAAGGTATGACAAGGGCAGACAGAAGGAGGTCACAAGCCCTTGACCTTTAACCACCGTTATTTAATAACATCAATGTCTCTAATACACAAATCTCCCTGAAAAATTTCAAAACTTTCAACAAATGATGCAGGAGTTAATAAGCTTCAAAGAGGATGAACAAAACCTTGCCCACCTCACACACATACTAACATCCCATATATTAAAAAAAAAAAAACTTTTACATTTCTTAACATTTCAAGGTTTGAGTCCAAAAATATAAAAATATTGGGAGTCATTTCTGACCAATTGTCATAATTTTCCTATGTTGTATATAATAGCCAGGAATGCTATAAAATTGCAATTATTATACAAATTAATTATACAGTGGTACCTCAGGATACAAAATTAATCCGTTCCAAAACTGAGATCGTATCATGAAAATGTCGTAAGGTGAATCATTTTTCCCTGTACGATTACATGTAAAACAAAATAATTTGTTCCAACACGAAAAACACTCAAATTAAAGCTAAGTAGTACATTAAAAACAAAATAACTTTAGTAAGGAAAACACTGAAATATGCATTTTGTAGTTGTAAATGTATAAATAACTATAATAGAATAATAATTAATTTTAAAAAATGTACTTTTATTTGCACTTTACCTTTGAGGATAGACGATGGTGGAGGTGTAAACTGATGGCAGGGGAGGGGGAAAAGGGAAATGATACTAAAACTTAACTTAGATAGCTTAATGTAACAATAACTTAAAAATAACTTAGAAAAGATAAAAAAATTAGTGTTGTTTTATTTATATATATATATATATATTTTTTAATTTTTATTCACTACTTTTTGCTTTCATTTCTTCACTTTCGCCAGCACTTTCACAGGATAATGGTCGCTTGGCAAAATATCTATCCAAAGAGGTTTGGCTTTACCTACTTTTTAAAATGTTTCTAAAATGACTTAGGCAAATATCATTACTCTGAGCAGCAATACGGCCAGTGTGAACCTTTTTGGGATGTTTCTTTTCAATAAAATCAGTCACTTTCTGATAATACCTCAAGATTTCCTTTATCGAGCGAGATCCTTCCACAACAAAGCAAACACGCGGACTGAGACCAATGAACAGAAGTGAATAAAAAATGACGCTGCAAACTAATGTAACGTCGTATGGTGAGTTTTTGTTCGTATCGTGGAGCAAAAATATGTTCGAATTTCATGTCGTATCCTGGGGCGTTCGTATCCTGAGGTACCACTATATAGCTAAAAATATTTTTCATATTTTATCTATACAGGGTGTCACAAAAATTTAAAAACAAAAAAAATCACATAAAACCAACAAATTGGAATATTATGTCTGCATGGAGACATATTTTTTTTATCAAAAGAAAAAATTATTAGTTCAAATTTTCATTGATCGAAGGGATTGTACTTCTTACATCACAAAAAATATACAAAACTTAAATCCTTTAAAAAGATGCTTAACTGTATATAATCAGTAGTTGGTGCAAATCAAGTTATTGCATATGTTAAATGCAATGCTAAAATTGGTGAATAAGACATTTCTGATGAAACTGTTATTTGAGAAGTGAATTAGTTATAGAAGCCATATAAAAGTTTCTAATAAAAAAAAAAAAAAAATGTAAAACAAAGTAAAGGCCCAACCACATGCTTGCAAATGCAAATGAATAAATGCTAAACCATCTTGACTTCTTTTTAACATACTGTTTTCCATATGTGATGATAATGATGCCCTCTATCAGTAAAAATTTTAAGTAAAATTTTTTCTTACAGCAAAAATCCACCTCCACACAAGTTTTTTGGTGCAAACCCCCACTATAATATACCAATTTGTTGATTTTATAAAATTTTTTAAAAGTCTATGAACTTTTGGGGCATACTATTTTAAAATTATATTCTGATTAACTACAGTATTTTGAATTTACAATGATGATTATTGAAAAACACCCATTTTCTTTGATTCTGAAAGTTAAGCAATCTTTATAATAAAGGATTTCAATTTCTGAGAAAAAAAAATCTTTTACTTTCATAGAAAACCATCAAATGAAAACATCTTGCAAAAACTTTGATAGCAAAATAAAAACAAATCTGTTTCTTCTGAATTTAATGCAAACATAGCATCATCAAGAAAAAATTTTCCAATTTTAAAAATCTATAAGACAATATCCTTCCATTTTAATATAATATTTTCATATTTATATTTTATGAAAATTCAATATTAATTATAAAAGGATTAAAATTATTCTACTTATATTTATGCAGTTTGAATACATTTATCTGGAACTAAAAAAAGCAACAATTAATCTTGAATAATTGAAAATATAATGATACATGACATAACTTTTCAGAAAATATAAAATAATATTTACCGAGTATTTAAGTCCAAAATCTCATGTTCTGGTTTAACTAATGTTTCATATACAGGTTTCAGATCTGGACCAATTACTGTAATCCTTGCCAATTCTACACCAGCTGTACTATAACACTAAAAAAATTGAAATTTGTAATTGACACCATTAAATCATTTCTTAACAATGAACTAATCATACGTGGGTGCTTCAAAAAGTTCATGGAAAAAGTCCATAACTAAAAATTGTTTGGAAGGATTTTGATTTTAATGCACCTGAACATTCTTGTACTAACATGTTATAACATGATCAAACATGAACCCTTAAATGCAAGTAAGAACACACCGCCACAAGTTGAAAGTCAGGCATCAGAATCCAACAAAATCGAGACCAGAACAAAACATAAAGTTCATGGTGAAAGTTGGTTGGAAGAATAAGCAAATCATTGATGCTCTGGAACAAGTTTATGGTGATAATGCTCCAAAGAAGTCAACAACCTACAAATGGATAAGTCACTTCAGAAGTGGAAAAACCAAGGTTGAAGATGAGCCCCACAGTGGCAGGCCAGCAACGTCAGTTTGTGAGGAAAACATTGATGTTGTTCATGACTTGATAAAAAAGGATAAATGAATAACCACTGAATCGGTAGCAGATACACTCAACATCTTTGTGGGTTCTGCACACAAAATTCTTGTGGACAGTTTGGGACTAAACAAGCTTTCCACTAGATGAGTCCCAAGGCTGTTGCACCCAGATCAGCAGCAAATGAGGGCAGATCTTTCAATGGAAATTTTGAACAAGTGGGATGGGGACTCTGAAGCTTTTCTGCCAAGAATTGTGACAGGGGATGAAACATAGATCTCTACCAGTATGATCCTGAGGACAAAATTCAATCATAGCAGTGGCTGCCCCAGGGTGGAAGTGGACCAATAAAAGCAAAATCTGAACATTCAAGAGGAAAGGTCATGGCCACTGTCTTCTGGGATGCAGAGGGAATTTTGCTAGTTGACTTCCTCGAGAACAAGAAGACAATTACATCTGCTTATTATGAAGGCATTTTGAAAAAATTGTCCAAAAGAATCCTGGAAAAACTCCCTGGAAAGCTGCATAAACACGCCCTCTTCCACCACGACAATGCACCCACTCACAGTGCTCGGCAAATAAAAGCTGTGCTACGTGAATTTTGATGGGAAATCATTCGACATCCCCCTTACAGCCCTGATTTAGCCCCATCCGACTTCTTTTTGTTTCCAAAGTTGAAAAAATCGTTGAACAATACCAATTTTCCGTCAGTTGAAGATGTAAATAGAGCTGCTCTAACATGGTTCAGATCACAAGACCCTCTGTTCTACTCAGACAGACTTAAAAAGTGGTATCAACGTTTGCAGAAGGGTATCAACCTTAACGGAGCATATGTTGAAAAATAAACATCATAACTGAAATAGTTTTTTCATACTATCCTTTATCCACGAACTTTTTGAAGCCCCCTCATATTTTACATTTTATAGAAATTACTTAATTTTACAAATAAAATGAAAATAACAACATGAGTCTTACCATTTCACAATCCAATGCATAGGTTCCGTAATTGTCATCAGGTGGAGGAGATTTAATCAATGTTTTCACATAACCAGACAAATTTTCTGTTTCATTATTTTCAAACACATGGCCCTTTTAAGTAATTATTATAATGAATGTTCTATACAAGTCATAATATACAATTAGTAAAACTCTTTATTTTTATCAAAGTAATTAATTAAAGATTTATATCAACATCCTGAAGCCTGATGTCTTAATTATGACAATTGTTTGGCTTAATTAAAGATAATTTAATTTTTAGATTAAGATATAATCTAAAAATACTGCACATCATAAATAAAACAATAAAACTACTATAAAATTACTTTACAATTAAAGAATTCAAATTGTTTTGGAGGGAAAGAAGTATAATTTATATAATGAAATCTAACAGTATGAAGAATGTAGCAATGTTAAGATAAGATATTTAGTCTTGAAATAGCATTTATAACCAGCCATAATGATTCTCATAAAAACTTCACATGTTGTGAAGGCCTTTGATAGGGCTCATAGCTTAATATTTTTCTGTTCTTCAAGAATTTAAATAATAATATGATTACTGTATTTACTCGCATATAAGATAATCTTGCATATAGGACGAAGTGTAACTTTAAAGATCAGAATAAATAAAATTACAATTATTAATACAATTTTAATTTTATTTTGTTTAATCACAAATAAAATATCAAATGCATATAAATGCACACATCATCCTGTAAAAATTACTGGCATTTTAAACTTTAAAGAAAAATCTTGTAAAATTGACAACATAATTTGTTCATGTAAAACTGGACAATCAGGAACTTTTTTTTGCAATTCTTAACAGTTGAATCCACTCTCCGTCGATTACACTTATGAGTTTTTCCGAATTCTGATTTCCGAATAATCATCTGTTTTCACATGGGAATGGATAAAACTTATATCAAGCTCCAGTGTGATTTTGGAATTTCAAATTGGAATTCAATTCAAAGCTTTGTTTTTCTTATTGCTATTCATGTGCACAATAAATACACAAGAACAATTCAAATGACCCAGATAAAATACTTTTGATTTTAAACACCAGAGGGTGAGCATCTGATAAAAAATGCAAATACACAGTTCACAAAAATTATTGCAAAAATGCAAAGAATCCTTCACTCGTGCATATAGGACAACCTAGGTTTTTGAAGCAGTGAAAAATGAATTAAATCCTTGTCTTATATGCAAGTAAATATGGTATATTAAATCAAAATTGTTTGTACTGTAAATATCTTTGTCAATTATTTAGAACTCTGATATTGTTTCTTTTTAAATCTATTTCATTCTTTTTTAAATAAATTATTACTATTACGAAAAATTTACCCTACTTACCTACCTTAGCAACACAGCATCCATCTGATAAAGAATCACCTTGGCAACAGGAATATCTACTCTCAATAGCTCCTGCAACTAAATTTAACAATAATAAATTCCTCCCATTTGCAATATAAATTAGGAAAAGCCTAACATTACATCTACAAAGTTGAAAATTTACATTCTATGATTTACAAAATAAAGATAACCCGCTAAGAAGTAAATATTTGTCATTGTAGTATGTATGCTTATATTCACAATTTAAAATGTATGGCCATTGTAGCACCTAAGGATGCACCGATAAGCAAAATGGCCGATTACCGATTAATCGGCCATGCATTATCGGCCGATTAGTGTTAATAATTTATTGCATTAATAGTGTGAGATCCTAGAGTTAATTATACAGTTAATTATAATGTGGAAAAAACCTATTTTTCTCCACCTGGTATTTCCATCTCCCTCGGGTCAGGTAAACAAGAGACGATCGAATATCCTCGCAAAATCAACAATCTCTTCCTTTGTTTCTAAAAATAAATCTCAACACTTTAATTGTTGACGCATGGAAACTTCGACATTGTTTAAAAAGGTGAAGTGTTTCTGTGTTTAAAACAGAAACAAAATATATTTCTTTAACCGCTGATATTTGGACAGCAACTACAAACAATTCTCCTTTTTTAAGTGTAACAGGTTGAAGGATAATTTTCAGCAGGAAAGAGCTGTTTTGCAAATTGTTCCCTTTGAAGGTTCCCACACAGCTGCACAAATCAGAGAACAGTTAAAAATTGTTCTTGAACAGTATAAGTTGACAAGTGATAAGATATTCTTAGTACTAAGAGATTCTGCAGCAAATCTGGTAGCTGGAATTAAGAATTGAAACTTAGAGAAGCATTATCATACACTGCAGCTGACAATAAACGAATGCATATTTTCTAAATATGATGTGAAAACTATAATCACAGTTAATAGAAATATTGTCACACATTTTAATCATTCTGCTGTAGCTGTAATCAAATTAGAAGATTTGCAAGAAAAGTTAGGTTTGCAGAAACACAAATTAATTCAAGATGTTCCTATGCGCTGGAATTCTACATACTACATGTTGGAACAGCAAAAGGCCCTTGTCACATATACTATAGATAATAAAATTCCTAAGTTGAGCCCATATCAGTGGTTTCTCATTGAAAAAATTGTTCTACTTGTAAAACCATTCAAAGAAATTACTGTGGAAAGCCAGCAAACGAGAAGCCACTTCATCTTCAATAGTTCCCACAATAGAGACTCTGAAATTATTCTTATCAAAAGCAAAGATCAGTAGTTCCTTTAGTGGCATTAATACCACAACAGAAGAACTAGAAAATCCAATAAAAAAAAATTTTCAGCATATATAGAAAACAAGTCTTTATGCTTGTCATTTTTATTAGATTCAAAATGAAATTTCAAAAAGAGGATATGCTAGAGGAAATCTCAATAAGAATTAAATTCTGAAGCTTCTACTTCTGGAGGTGATCAAGATGGAGGTGAATTTCTAAGTTTTTCTGATTTATTTGATGAATTAGCTTCTGGTAAACGAAAGAATGAAGAATAGCATGTTTTTAAAAAGAAAGAAAAAAAAAACGAAAGAGACGAACAAACGTTTCGATCAAGAATTAGAAACATATTTACATTTATCCCTAATTTGAGCAAAATAGCTATGAAATATTTAAGTGCCTCAGCATCTTCCATTGAAAGTGAAAAAATTTTCAGCACTGAAGGTAACATTTATGAGCCGGCAAAAAATAGGTTATGCCCTGAAAATGATGAAATTCTCATGTTTTTGCATTGTAAAAACAAACTGTAAAACCCTTAAATTGTAATTTAAGGGTTTTACAGTTTAAATATTAAATTTTTATTTGTTTTATATTTGTTTTGTATTTAAACTTTAAACTTATGAAACAAATAAAAATTTAATTTTTCTTCTTAACCTATTCAATACTTTTTCTTATGTAAAGTTTAAACTTTATATTATACGTTATGTTATACTTATAATATGTATTGATGAAAGGAATAATTTGATTAGTAAAATTTTTTTAATATTCAGATTGTCATGTAATAAATAATAAATATATAACAGAAATTTATTAGTTTTTATTACTAGCATTGTACGTAACATTCTAACAAAAATACCAAAACGTAAAATTGGCCGATTATCGAAACCGATTAATCGGGGGGAATGGCCGATACCGATTAATCGGCTAAGTGGCCGTTACGGCCGATTACCGATGCACCGATTAATCGGTAAGTACCAATTAATCGGTGCATCCTTAGTAGCGCCTAAGGAGTTGTGATACACACTATGAATGTTGTTGCAGAAGCAAATGTGTACTTTTGGAGTATACTAAGGATGTTGCTTCAAATCTTTAGCTATGGTGTGATACAAGCTCCATTCTTATTATGGGAAATATTAAGTGTATATAAATAATTTCATGAAGATCAACAAAATATTTTTCATTTGTGCAATTTCAGATGCATAAATTAACCCATGATTACATGCACTTATTTTTGAACACACTTATGGGCAAAAGCAAGTGATTCCCTGCTGATTTTCATGCATTATTATACTGTATGTAATTGCAATTTTTCAAATTTGACAATTCTGAAATATACTAAAATGTGTCTTCTCCATACAAACCAAATTTCAACATCATATGTTGATTAGTTTACAACATATGATGTTGTATTTTGTTGATATTGTATGATGTTTTGTATGATGTTGATATTGTTTTGTTCACAGAACAATGTCCTTCAAACTTTCTGATAGCATTCACTAATGTGTATGAAGAATAAATAATGGAGTCTAATGTTAAACAAGTTCAGCTGAGGTTTCTTAGATGAACTTCTTTAATGTTAACGACTCTTAAATTATTCTCTTTAATTTTGTAATTTTAATTCTCTACTTATTACAAAATTAAAGAGAATAATTTAAGAAAAATATTCAAAATGATCTTCACAAACATGGACATACTATTGCATACAAAAAAACCAGTGACTTCTGACATATATTCAGAAGAACAGTTTTCAATATTTAAAATAAAGAGCTATAGTTTGTATGTACAGTACTGATAATAAAGGAGCAGTGTTATCTTGTTAGTGGGAGATTTTAAATTGGTTTGTGATATGATTTTTGGCAGCCAGATATCAAAAATGAAATAAAATTTGAAAAACTTTTATAGGGAATTTTAAACTTACTTTTGACCTAAGAATTTATCCCTAAAATATTGGCATTGAGTTCAGTTATACCCTGTATATTTTTTGAAATAAATACAAAATTTCTTCACAATGTGTGCAATAGTATACAATTTTCTATTGAGAATATCTGAGGAGTGTTTAACAGAATAATTTAACATCCTAAAAAGTCTGTAATACAATTTATTTCCTTAAATTCTGTAGAAGATTGCTTAAAACCTAAGTGTAGATTGCATATAACAGCAATTACAGTAGACCCCCTATAACGCTTAGATACGTTCCACGTTAACCGAATTTTACATTGTAGGAATGATTAAATACATGAGCCAATCGCAGCCCGATAGGTGGGAACTTTACGGACTAAGGCTGTTCGAAAGGTTTTCTTCTATAAAATTAACCGATTCTAGACTAATTCCACTCAACATTTCCAAAACACGTATAATTTTTTGGGAGTAATCCGTATAAACTATGCTATAAACAAAAAATTATAGGATTACTTACCGAGTGTGTACCGTTCGACTACGCCGTTGCTTAAAGCTGGTTTTCATCGCGGAACAGCACATTAAACGGCGGCCGCGATTTCTAACAACTTATTTTTCTGCGAAGACTTCGTTGAACTTTGGAGACATCATTAATATAAATAATTTTTATGGCCGTTGAATAAGAAGTGTTTCTTTCACAAGAAATGTATAAAATTAGTGCTGTATTAGACTTACGGTACCTAATTTACATACTGTACAGACGATAATAAACTCAACTTACTAGCCTAAAATCTCCGTAGCGTGTTGCCAGGCGGCAGAAAGCATATATATAATTATAATAAAGTTACAATAAATTAAGTTAATATATAATTATATATACAGTACCTAATTTATATATAATTAATATATAATTATATGTACAGTACCTAATTTATATATAATACTGTACAGACGATAGCAAACTCAATTTAGCCGCTCCGTAGCGTGGCGCAGGGCAAAGGAAAGTAGTTCGGCTGCTCATCCACTATTGGTCCAGACTCTATCAATCTTGTCGCGAAACGACGTTTTAGGAGCTCCTTTATACGAATGTTGCTACAATTTTTTCACTACGTTATAGGAATTTCCGTTATAGGAACGCACGTTATAGGGGGGTCGACTGTACATTAGTGTGCATAAAGTACATGTAGACTGACCTTATATTTTATTATATAAGGAGAAGTTAAAATTTTTTTATCTAATTTTATAAATTACTCAATAAAAGAAAAATTAACTTTTAAGATTTCCAATATCTGTACTTCTAATTTCTATTTAATTTTTAATTAACACATTGTTATCAGAAGTTGTATATTTTAATTTTTTTATAAAATAAAATTTCTTTAACTTACTTCTCCGTTTCCATAAACGACCCCAATGATAAATACATTCTTCTTCTTTAACATATTTTCCTTTCACCGTTACTCGATATTTTGTTTGACAACGACAGCAGGTTCTTTCTAAAGCTAAAAGAAAAATTCAAAGAAAATACAGATACAAAAATTATTTCAAAGTATAAAATTTAAAAAAGAAAAATAATTAAAACTATCAGTCTCACAGCAATAGATAAATATGGAACAAGAACTATAAAACTCATATAATTCTCTACTACTTAATAACAAAATAATAGTGAATACCATATGTAATTTACAACATTAAGAGACAACATAATTTCTGGAAAAATTTCTTTTTTGATATTTATTATATATTGTAGAAATAAAATCACTTAAATCTTTTACTGAGGAGACTGACGATAAACTTATTTTGTTGTTTGCAGAAAGTAACTTTGTAGAAATAACCCTATTTGCAGTCCCACAATGTTTAATTAAATGAGAAAGGGAATAGACTACATTTTTAATAACTATCACTGTAACAACATTTTCTTTTTTTTTTCGGTTTCACTAAATATTTCTGTAGAGGAGTTTGGACTGTTTAGTAATACACACAAGAGAAACTTCATATTTGCAGAGTTACTTTCTGAAAAATTGTTATGAATATAGAAATCAAAAGTATGGAAAGGAATACATTGAAAAAAACACAGATTGATTAAAATTAAAGTGCATTTTCACATAAAGAAATTTCATTTATTTTATTTCAAACTGAAAGTTAATAAATATTTATCATAGTTATATTTATTTATTCTTAAAAAAAACTTGTAATTTATGTTTGTTTTTCTTTGAAAATCAAACAACCATTTTGAGTAACACAACATACATTCTTCAATTTCTTTCTTAAATTTATGTCATCTTCCCATAGGAAGTATTCACTAAACATTTTATTAAATCTCCTGAGGGCTTACTAATTCTAAAAAAGTTTTAACAAAATGTTAAATTTTCTGAAAAATTTTAACCTCGTTAAAAACAAAGGATTATCAGAATGTTCATTTCCCATGAATTAACATTCAAATCATTTGTATACAGAAACTTAACCAATTCTTCTGACAAATCTATATTTTATGGTAATATCATTTATGATGAAAACATGAACAACCACAGCTACTGATTTTCCTTCCAGAAAAAATAAAAATGCTAGATTGCAAACAAAGTCTACCATTTTAACTTTGTCTTTAAGGGACATCATTTCCTTTGACCTTTTTGGTATTTTGCCTGTAGAAGCTTTTAGTTTAAATAACACAGCTGATTTATAAAAATAAAAGAAAAAATTAACTAAAATTACAATGCAGATTACATTAATATAAAAACACAACATTTACTATTTGTGTATGAGAAACACTAAAATATGTGAGAAATTATGAAACAACATCCAACAGCACCATCTAATGTTTCAACAATACAAATTGCATTAAATACATTTAAAATAATAGTATTAAAAATCTTTTAATCTGCTACAATTGTTAATCATTTAGCAAATATGGAGCTTTTACTACTACTAATAATAATAATAATTTGAGTATAAGTTGAAAAATTTCATATCATATATCAGAAAATACATTTAACAAAAATGATGTAAAATTTCAAATAAAATAAATTTAAACTTACGATTATTGCAAACTGGCTTTTTCTGGTAAGAATTTGTAATAATTGCTTTTCCTGGATTAGCTGGATCCAAGCGTGGAAAACCATTTTCCTCTAACTGCTTCTCAGTCATAATATAAGGTTTCAATAAATTGTATAGTTTTTTGCCTAGATTTTATTGAAAAATAATAATTTATATTGATTTTGTAAATATATTATTGATATTTGTAGTATATAAAGTAACAATTACCCTTTATGTCATCATCAATTTTTACTACTTTTCTTCTTTCAATACTAAAGCTGGTTTTTGCAGCTTTTGGTCCACCCAAAACATATTCATGTGAAATAGTCTTATTTAAATTACTATCAACTAATTTTGATCTCTTACTTTCCAAATTATCTTCAGAATTAATATCTATTATTGGTCTTTTATTTCTAAGTCTTTTAAGTGTATTCACTGCAACATTTAAGTAAACAGTTTTATTTGAACTTCTGTTATAGGCATTCTTTTCTTCTTCAAGAGCCTGAAAATAAATACAAATATGCAATATTTCTTGAATTATTTTCATTCAAATAAAATAATAACTTTATAAAATGTAACTTTATATAATGTAAAAACCTTATGTAAGCCAGTGATTCTATAATATATTATGAAATTAAATAATGATATTAATTTTTCTGGAGTAATTAGTAATTCAATTTTATAATGTATGATAAAGAATTTTACACAACAAATCGTCTTTATTATTCTAAAACAATAACAACTAGTTGTAATAGAGATTGAACTCATGACTTGCTTATTATATTAACTACAGTGCAATTCTTATTTACTCATTAAGTATAAAAATTTAATTGTATTAAATTTTTATACATACAGGTATACCTCGCCTTACGTCGGTAATTGGTTCCAGGAGAACGACGCAAGTCAAATTTACTTGTCTCCGAATCTACTTGTCACTAGGCTAAACCATAAATTACCATTCCCGGTTCTGTATTTTATTTATTAATGCATTTTAATAATATATGGTTAATAAAAATCTATTTTAAGCTTACAAACGAATAAATTTTAGTTTTTAATATAGTACAGAAAAAAGTATTCTAAATTTACAAATGCATGTACTGTAAATACAAAACATACTAGTATATATTTTAATATGATTTTATGTGCTTTAAACGTTTTTCTAGTGATATTACGACTTCAATATTTGTGACGGACAGACGTAAAGTCGAATAAAATGACTTAAACTTGATTTTTATTTTTCCATATACTTTTTTGACAAACGACGTAACTCAAAACGACGTAAGTCGAGGTATGCCTGTAATGAGTATTTGTAAATAAGGAAATAATTTGCAGTTGTTTCCTTTTACGTTTCTTCCCATTTATGAGACATGAATATAATAAGAGCTGAGCAATAATTGATAAAAAATATTCCAATCACAAGTGTGATGAGATTGAAATTTCTACATGGTCTGATTAGATGTATCTTAGACCACATTCTCCATTTTCTTTGTTTCATTCACTACAGTAATATTTTTCAAACTCTTTCCAACCTGTGGGCACTAAGAGGTCTTTTAGCAAGCCATTTTAGGGAAGACCCACAATGAGGGGTGGCAACGTAGTAAGGAATGAGCCAAAATATCTGGACAGACCACTTCTGAAAAAATTCCTGGAGTTTTTTCCATCCAGATTCGATACCAGGTCCCCAGGGTAGAAAGCTGCCATCTTCCATATTTGACTTGGGTTAGTAAGCATTCTAATGCAGTTGGGCAAATTATTAAACTTTCTCCCTTTATATTGCAGAAATCAGTGATTACAACTTCATTGATTAAAAACAAATTTTATTTTACAATACTTGTTTTCTGCTTGCTTATTGTCTTAATTATTGTTTTCTTACCATTAGTCTAATAACTTATATCTACTTCTTTTATTTTGTATTAGTTCCTTTTTGTATCAGTGAGTAATCCAATCAACATTTTAATGTTATTTGAGAAACATGTATAAGGTTGTGCCAGAATGACTTAGAAATTTTGATAAAATAATAATGGAAAGGCTTGATATATTTTATTTACTTTATTACAATATATTATATTTTAAAACATTTATTTTTTAATAATTTTTTCATTTTAACATGTTAAGTTCTAAAATTATCAAGTACAGTAGAGCATCGATTATCTGACCCCTGATCAACTGTCATATTGGTTAACCGACCATTCTAGTCGGCAAATTTCAAATGTCCTCTAGTGATGTGGCGCTACAATATTTGGCTATGTTTTGGCTACTTTAATATTATTTTTGTTAAATTTTTGCATGTTTTAGCTAGCAACATTGCTCAATCATGAAAGGGAGGCTTAATTTTCTAATTATGAGTGGTTGTTTGTTTCGTGAGCAATAAAATAATTTTAAAATAATTTTTAACAATACAATAGCGACGATTATTATTTTTAAAAAATTTTTGTTAGGCTTATTAACATCGATGGAAATTCAATGCGAAGTAGATTAATAGCGATATATTAATTACATGGAATATACTAATATACTATACTAATAATGTATTTTTTCATACTTTTCGATTATCCGTTTTTTCAGTTATCCGACCAACCCCAGTCCCCAATTGAGTCAAATAATCGATGCTCTACTGTACTTTTATTCTGTACTTACAACTTGAAATGCCTGCTCTTCATTTTCACAAAATTTCAAGCATTCATCAATAAAGTTTTCCAGATACCGCTGCCGAATGTTACAAGGCACTTTACTTCCATATTCAGCAGGAATGACTGGTCTTTTACTTTTAAGCTAAAATTAAAAAATAATAATTTTAAATATAAATGTTTGCAAATTTTAGAAATTTGCTTATGATTAATTTTGTGTAGTAATTTTAAATATATAGAAAATGTGTGTAATGAAACTAGATACATGTCACATTTGAATGTAAATGGGATCTTATTTGAATAAAAAAATTTGTGAATTCTTGTTAACTGTTGCTTCTATTTTACATGATGCCTTTTCTTTAAAAAAATGTAATTTAAGGAAAAGCTTCCTGCACTAAAAGTTACTGACTTTGTAGCATAGAGTCCAAATATGTTAACATTTTGTTAGAATCTATTTGAAATTTTGCAGTGGGTCTCATGTTCATCTCCACAAGGAGTTACAAGAAAGTTCTTTAGTTCATTTAATAGCACCTTTTCCTAACTGAAATTTTTTTAGGTTAGTCTTTATTTTTAAGTATCAATTGAATAGCACAATACTGAGCTATAACACTTTTACTTGAGTCACTCTGGATAAACTGTGTATTCTATGAGGAAGTGGCAATATTTTTACAGTGCATTTTAGAGGCCTAGGAGATTCAAAAATGCCTTATAAATATAGCTCTTTAAATTCTTTATTCGAATGCTAGAAGGAATTAAGTTCACATTAGTTACGTTTAGAGGACATTTTTAACCTAAAGACCTACAGAATCCAAAAATTCCTCTAGATCTCTAGAACACATTGTAAAAGTATCATCACTTCTTCATAGAATCTTTGTAAAGAAATCTAAATTAATTGGTCAAACAATCTAATTTAAAAATTTTGGCCAATTAATTTAGGTTAAAAAATTATTAATGTTTTAAATTAATAATTAAAAGAGTAAAATTAATTTTTTTACTTAGATAAAAAATAAAATTCTTACCATTATGGGAACATGAGCTATCCTTCTTTCTCCCTTTGCCACAGTCGTTGCTGTGGTTGCACTAGTAGAAGCAGTAACAGTGAGAGTTTTATTCAATAACTTTTGTCTCTCAGCAGCTGCTACCAAAAGAGATGCATTTGGAACATGAGCAATTCTTTTCTTACCAACTTCAAACTGTGTTAGTCGGCTTAAAAATGCACTATTTGCCTGGAAATTAATATTTATCAATTATTATTATAATAAGTAATTGGCAAAATGAAATTGAGCAAGGTTTATACCTTCTTTTCTTCGGTCTTGTCTGCATTACGATACATCTCTTGTAATTTAGAATACCTATTATGTAGAACTTGGCCCGGTGACAAACGTGTAGTAGTTACATTTGAAACAGTCTGAAACAATTAACATAATTAAGATATAAGTAAGATTTTACTTTTATTATACAGAGTAATTTTTAACTGTCCATAAAAACAACAACAAAATCATATAGATAATTATCAATGGATTTCCAATGTTATTATTCGAAACATTATTTTTCTTGCTACAAAAATTATTCTTGAAAATCATTCAGGTATTTTCTATATTCAGCATAAAATACTACTGTAATTTTGGAATTTTATTTACTAAGTTTTTATTTATCATTATGACTTATTGTTACATAAATCAGTTACTTCACATCTGTAATACAATTATAAGTAATGATGTTTGTCACCACCTGGATATGTTCATAATGAGCCATTCTTAAAGTGGAGATCATTTTTGCACTGGTGATTATTGTCTATTTTAAATTATATCATATATACTTTTATTTGTTTAATTTTATAAAATATGCTTATCTTTATTGATGTAAAACATCTAATTATTTGATTATAGTTTTGATTTTGCATAGCATGCATAACTTTCTAAAAACACTGTCATTTGTTCTGTAACCATTTCCTAAAAATAGCATTTTTGTTTACATTGAGGAAACTTGTACAGGTATGCCTCCTATAACGCGGTAGATAAGTTCCTTGAAAATACCACGTTGTGAGAAATCGCATTATAGGAGACACCAACTCAATACAAAAACTGGTTTCAGTTCTAAAAAGACTAAAACTTGGCATTTGAATGGCATTTTTTGAATTTTTCAAACCAGCCATTGCTAGCCACTAATTTAACACTGGTTTCATCAGCTGACAACTGTCCCATTTGTTTTAAATAATCAAATATTTTTAAGGCTTTGTATTTAAGTGCAGTTTTATTTAAAGGCAACCATTTCTTGTTCATATCTTCTACCCATAATATTAGCACTTGTTCCATTTTTTCCATTATAGGTGCTCTCGGACTAGCAACATTTTTCGCAAGAATAGATGATCCAGATGCAATCAAATTTCTAATCTTTTCTCCCAATTGCTTAATCGGCCAAATAGTCGGCTCATTTAAATTAAAATGCCTACTAATATCAGCTATCTGATCTTGATTTTTAATTTGATCCAAAATTTCTATCTTTGTTTGAAGAGTTATAAATTTCCTTTTTAACGATGGTTCTTTCTTTTCATTCAGCATTGTTATGGCTAAAATTTTTTCAATCAGTTTTGTGGATAGTAAAAATCGCAAAAAGTAACTTCCCTTCACTATGTTGTTAAAAATATACACCCAATAGAAGTTTATAATGTATTTTGGACCATTTTTACAGTCCCCACTTATTGAAAGAGCATAAATGATGGAAAATTTAGTGATATATTTGAGTGTTTATAACTGATGCACATCTGTCTAGAAACCAGTCTTTCCCTGAAACTTTCAAGGGAATAAACAACACACCAACAGAGACAAACAGCTGTTTTCAAGGACATTTAGTTCTGTATGCCGAACTGTGGCTCTATCACATGATCTGTTGCAATTTTTCTGTTATGTGAAAGATAGTTTCTTTCTAAATACTATAAACCACGTTGTAAGAAAGTTTCCGCATTTTTCCAACCGCATTGAAACAAAAACGTGTTGTAAAGGTACCACATTGTAGGAGGCCTATCTGTATCTATAAAAATGTTTATGTTTTTATTTAACACCGGTAAACTGAGTTTGTTGACTTACTAGATTATAGTGGGGCACACTTTAGTAATATTGTGATAACAGGAAATTCAACACTTTTAAATTCAATTTTTTGGACTTCATGCAATTAAAAGTTTTCTATTTTGTGTTTCCACATTATTTTTTATGCAGTACTTTTCTGAAATTGAGAACATGGCTTAAATTTTTTTTAGGTTACGAGGAACTATCATATTTAAGGCATACTACACTATTGTCTTAAATCTATATATATATATATATAAAACCCATTGAACGAATATCTGTCCGCGTAACAGTATGACAAAAACGGGCACTAGAGGTGCCCTAGTGATGATTTTAAATTAACAATAAATTATTTTTATTTGTAATAGGAATTTATTATTTATACCATGGAATGGTATAAATAATTATTATATGCCTTGCCTTATTATATGCCTCAATTAACCTTGCGCCTCACATTTACAACATTCCATGACTCAGTGAACATCGTGCATTGACTCACAGCAAATTTGTTGAAAAAATGGCAGATACATTTAAAATTGAGGTTTACAAGCAAAGGTAAATAAACAAATTAAACTATTTTAAAGTATTTATAGAATGTTTAATAGTTAAAAATATAGATCTGTATGATGCGATTCAGACGGTAAAATTTACCCTCTAAATGAAGGGGTAGCGACCACCCTCTGTGCAAACAATAAATGTCTAATGAACCATGCATCTACGTGCGACCCTTCCCGAAATATAGCCCCCCAAAAATTATTCTACGGATCATGTGACTGCCTGTTTGCCACAATTTACCCTGCAAATGAGGGTGTGGCGACCCCCAAATGCACATTAATTATTTTTTGCACGGTAGGCTCCCTTTTGACCACAGTGTCATGTGATCGGAAATGACATAGGCGAATTTTCAGGGGCTTATATCTCGCGAAGGGTTGTGAGTAGGGGTATGGTTCCTTTGACTTTATTGTTCGCACAGGGGGCTACAGTTTGGGGGGTTGCCAACCCTTCATTTGGAGGGTAAATCTTACCATTGGGACTTTAACAGAGCTGTAGAGCATATTGATAGGAACAAAAAAGTCAAAGGAACCATGCCTCATGGAAATTTGTAAAGAATGCCCACTAGGGGGCATCCCGAGCTACTAGTATATAATAAAAATTTGAATAATGAAAAAATGAGGATAAAGTTTCTAATAGATCAATATTTTCTAATATCAATTTTAATACAATTTATAAAAACAACAGATTAGTCACAAAAAAATAAAAAAATATATAAAAATTATATAATTTAAATTTACTCTTGAAAGAGATGGTTGATGTGCAACACGTTTTTTTCCTAATATGACTATTTCTTCATCTTTCACTTTAGATTCTTCTATTTGACGAATCTATTAAAAAGAATAACAACAACTTACAATTAACATATTTCAAATAATATAAAACTACAGTAGAATACTTTCCCCATCATTTTAATCATATAAAGTAGCGGTGTCCAACCCGCAGCCTGTAGCAAGTTCCAATGTGTCCTAATAAATGTGTAAACAAAACCAACAAATATTTTTATTTATTTCAGTGGCATAAACTCAAAAAAGAAGTTTCACAAAGCCATAAACCTTTATACATATTTCATTTTTGAGTGAAAAGGAAATATTTTCAAATACTTGGAGATGTGTGAATGAGGAAGGAATACTAAATAAAGCTGGAGTTGTGACTCAAAGGATTATAGATCCAAATTTGGGGAAAGGAGAGAAAAGCAAAAAGATAAAAAGTAGTGAGAAAGTTTAAATAGACCTGTTATGCAAATATTGACCCTTAATTTTCCACCCTCCTCACTTCTTTATCTTTTGTCCTTTCCCAGCATTTGGGTCTATAATTCTTTGAGTCCCAACTCCAGCTTTATTTAGTATTCCTTCCAGCATTGCAAGATTTGACAAATTTTTGCCAAATTTGTCAAATCCTGCCAAAATCTTGACAAAATCTTTGTGCTAAATTTGGCTACCCGCACGTTTGGCGTAAAAAATATCATTTGATGCATTGGATACTTTTTGGGCTACATATTATTCATAAATATATTAGTTGAATAAAAATGCACTTTAAAATGATGTTTTGTTGATTTTATAAATTAGAGACCAAAATAAAATAAATATTTGTGTTTTCAAATAAAGTTTTGTTTCTCCCCTTTATAATATATGAATTTATCTATTTCTAAGTAAAAAATTGAATGTTTCTGTAGAAGTAATTTTTTAAAATATCCTTTCTCGTAATAAAGTTTTAACACTTATTACTATAATCTAGACATGTTAATCCTTAAATATATTTGTATATTTAAGGATTGGGCCACAAGTATATGTAATATACTTGTGGCCCAATCCAAAACTCTATGACTTCTTCCAATGTGGCCTAGAGAAACAAAAAGGTTGGACACCCCTGATATAAAGTAAAAAAAGTAATATACACTATATCATTATCATCTCACTCAAACATCTCTTCATTGTTTTTATCAGGTCATCAAGGATAAAATTTGTGGAAAGAAAAGGCAAAGTTGGTTGATAACTTACAAATATAAGGAATTATTTTATTCATCAAAATATGCACCCATATTGTCTATACACTTTTGCCATTTAAGCAGCAGGTTATTCAGGCTGGTGGTATAAAACCCTGGTGGACAAGTCAATGAATTCCTGGAAGGCCAGTTTTAAAACATTGTCGAAATTAAATTGTTTTCCTATTAAGTTGTCCATAATGCGGAAGAAGTGGTAGTCAGTGGGGTATGTAGGTAGTCTGGTGAGTATGGATGATGATGATGAAGTTCCAACTCCAATTCCTGTAGTTTTGCCACAGTCATTTGTGCAGTGTGTGGTCTAATGTTATCGTGCAATAAGACAGGAGTCGATTTGTTGACCAATCTAAGCTGTTTTGCTTTAAGTTTTTGCATCATTTTGTCCAGTTGGTTGCAGTATATTTTTGCTGTGATCAATGAGTCAGGTTTCATAAAATCATAATAGATCACACCTATGCTAGACCACCAAACACTCACCATCAGCTTATTTTGATGAACATTGCACTTTGGAGTGTGTTTTGGTGATTCATCCTTGTCCAACCACTGTGCTGAATGTTTGCGATTTTCATATTGGATCAATTTCTCGTCACAAGTGACAATTCAATTCAAAAATGGATCAGATTTGTGACGAGAAAGCAACATCAAGCAAGCTTTCAAACACTTTTGTTTCCGTTTTTCATTCAGTTCATTTATCCAACTTTTTCACTTTACTGATTTGAGCTAATTGAGTTAATAAGTTAATATTGTTTGTTTGCTAACACCAAACTTCAACGATAATTCATAGGCACTCTGAGATAGGCAATATTATTACCTACAAATTTCATCCTTGATGACCTAATATATCAACATTTTTATTCTGTTACAAGATAAACAATGAAATAGATTATTTACATTACTTTGAGTTTTTACTATAAATTCATTCTGAAACTTTTCATATTTAATGAACAGTGGTACCTCATACTTCAAACAATTCTAACTTTGAATGTTCCAGAGTTCAAATGCTAAATTTGAGAGAAATTCAATCCAGAGTTCAAATGATGCTTCTACGTCTGAACCACATGTACAGTGAAAAAATGCATTCACTGCATAAATGAAATCTGTCATGCATCTAAGTCTTCTCTCATTCCCAACCTGAAAGCATCTCTTGCATTATACTTGTATGTTTTCAGTACCTTTCCAATTTATTTTTGTTGTATATCATTATATATACAAACCCCAACTTATTAACATGGCATCCAAGTAGTGTGTGGAAGCAATAAAGCCTAAGAGGAAGGTATTACTGGCTGAGATTTAAAAAAAAACTTATTGCAAAGCATGAAAGTGGGATGTGTGGTGGATCTGGCAACCATGTTTAAGAAACAAACTGACAGCAGGCAACCAGTAAATGCAATGTTCAATATTATACAGTATTTATGTATTTTATTTATTGTTTTCATGTTTTAATTTATTAATACAAAACTAAAATTAAGTTAGCAATATTTGCCACATATAATCAGTCACTTTTATAACCACTTAAAAGGGATGTTTGGATAAATAAACCAAAATGTTGTGAACATTGGATTCAAAGGACATAACATTTCGGTTTATTAATCTAAAAAGCACCTTTCAAATGGTTATAAAAGTTTTAATTTATTATTTAGGGCATTTTATTGTATTACTTTTAGATATTGAGGTCAAGGAAATGGGCCATCTTGTCATCCAGCTGGTCTAACTTTAGCTTAAGTCCAAAAGAGTTGTTGTTCACTATCTGCAGTATGGCATTTAGATCCGGCTTGGATTTCCAAATGATAAGAATATCATCGACATAGCGTGTGTAAAAAATGATTTCTGCATTGAAGGACTGTAACACTTGGCTATCTAATTTTCTAACAATTAATTCACAGAGGTCTCCAGAGAGGGGGCTACTACCCATTGGAACTCCCCTTTCTTGTAGAAAGATTTGCTGGTTGAAGGTGAAGAATGAGGTGTAGCACATTAGATGGGCAAGCTCACCTGCAAGCTCATGCAGACCCTTCTCAATAGGTAGGGTTGGAGAACCACAGTTGCAAACAAACGAAAGGATACAGAGCCTCAAAAGCCAGAACAAAAATAAAAGCCACACCAGTCAAAACAATAGGCAACAAATCACTAAAGAACACAAGAGCGCTCAAAAGGATCAAAAAATAATCACACAAATAGACTTTAAAGAGACAAATCAGACCAATAAATGAAAAACCAACATCTCCAACCCTACCTATTGAGAAGGGTCTGCATGAGCTTGCAGGTGAGCTTGCCCATCTAATGTGCTACACCTCATTCTTCACCTTCAACCAGCAAATCTTTCTACAAGAAAGGGGAGTTCCAATGGGTAGTAGCCCCCTCTCTGGAGACCTCTGTGAATTAATTGTTAGAAAATTAGATAGCCAAGTGTTACAGTCCTTCAATACAGAAATCATTCTTTATACACGCTATGTCGATGATATTCTTATCATTTGGAAATCCAAGCTGGATCTAAATGCCATACTGCAGATAGTGAACAACAACTCTTTTGGACTTAAGCTAAAGTTAGACCAGCAGGATGACAAGATGGCCCATTTCCTTGACCTCAATATCTTCTTGAATCATGGCTGCATAACCACAAATGTATTACTTTTATCTTAAATAGCAAGCAACTATGCATAATTTAAGTTTAATTGAAGTGAGTATCATTTAAGATCTCGAAATGGATTATGGTAATTCCCTTTCTATTATTTCTAATAAGGAAAGCTATTTCGACTTCAAACAATTCAGAGTTCAAATGGCCCTAGAATGAATAAATTCAAAGTATGAGGCCCCTGTAACTTAAAATTCATATTTTGTTTCCTAAAAATATATATATATATTTTTTATAATATTTGTTTTAATAGTGTAACTTTAATAGTTTATTATCAAATAATTTAAACTTATCTTTAATATTAATTATTTAAATTACATAAAATAAATTAATGTATATTTTACTTTATTTAAATTAGCTTCTTCCGATAGAGGATCTTTTTTTTCATTCTCTTCATTAAATATCTTCCAGCATTCTTCATATGTATCATGTTCATCTAAATCACTATCAAGATCTATTGCAACATCAGAGATATCAAAATTAGTATTAGAAAAATTACAGCTGTCAACTTCATTTTCATTTTCCTTTTTATCAGTCTTAGACGTATCTTTTGACTTAGATTTTTTATGAGATGATTCAATTTTTTCACTACTTTTTGACTTTCCTGCATGTTTCGAGGATTTACTTTCTTCTAATTTCTTCTTTGAATTTTTCTCACCTTTTATTTCTTTTCCTTTGTTTTCAGATTTGGAAGCTTTGCTATTTTCTTTTGCTTCCTTTCCTTTACTTTCAGCTTCAGATTTAGAAATTTTAGTGTTTCCTTCTGTTATTTTCTTTGAATTTTTCTCAGTTTTTATTTCTTTTATTTTTGTATCATCTGATACGTCATTACTTGATATACTTACAGACCTATCTCTCCTTGGACTTTTATGATTTGAAACATCTTTTCTAGTTTTTGAGTCTTCAGCATGTTTTTTATTGCTAGATTTTGCAACTGAATTCACTTCAGTGTCCTTCAAAAATGAATGAGATTTAGTTTTTTCTTTATGCTTTGCTTCTGTGACAGGAAGTTTTTGTGCTTTATCAGTTTTTAATTTAACCGTTTTCTCGACATGTTTATCAGATTTCTTTTCTTTATTCAATTTACTATCAGAATGATTTTTCTTCTGCAGAGACTCATCAGTTTCTGATTTTTTCTTTATTAATGTTTTAGATTTAATATCAGTTTCATCATGTCTTTCCGTTTTATGTTTTACTTTATTGAGATTATGACTTTTTTCATTATGTATTTTGCTGTTGTTTATAATTTTGTCACTCTTGTCAATACTTAATTTATTAGACAAAATTATATCTGTTTTATTTTTTGAATTATTAATAATTTCTTCACATTTTTTACTTTCTAACAATATTTTATCTACTAAACTGAACTCATTTATTGCTTTATTTACAGGAGATTTTTCTTCTGTTTGACTATTTAACGTATTATTAGTTTGTATATCTGATACCAATAATTTATTTTGTATATCAACTGATTTATTGCTCTCACTTATATTTGGTATATCATCTTTCTCACCATCGCTATCATTAGCACTAAACTCTGCCGTTATATCTTGATCATCATCACTTTCAGAAAATTTGCAAATTTCTTTTTGTATATCTACTTCTTTATTTTCACTTAAATTAACTTTTTTTGGTATGTAACCATCATCTTCCTCAGAAGATTCTTTACCACTTATTATATATTTAGCTTCAGAAATTTTATATTCACTATGTTTTTTTCTTTTTACAGGTTGCACTGGCGTTGAAAAATTATTTACTGGATCATACTGTTTTTGCAATTTCTTCAATTTTGAAATAGGTGTGGGATGATACTGAGGAATAGAAGAGCTCTTTGAAATCTTTGGTTCAACATGGGATACAGATCTAGATGTAGGAACAGATGACTTTGGAGTTGGAATATAAATAACCGGAGCAACACTTTCATATTGCTTGCTACTTAATGCACTGGTAGCCTCAAGTACAGCTTTATTTCGTTCTACGTCACGCTCTGCTTGTTTAATAGCATTATCCACCATTTCAAGTATATCTGGCTCTCTTCCATCTTCTCTAGCATTTCGAATAAGGGATTCATCAATTAACGTATTAAATGTTGATTTTCCAAATGTCTCTAAAAATATATTAAAGAGTTAATTAAAATTTATGATATTAAGAAATTGACTTCTTATTATATTTTATATTATTAACCACTACATTAATTTAAGGTTTCTCAAAATAATAATAAATATTTTAAATTTATCTTTCAATAAATATATACTACATCATCATCATCATTATGTATACATTGTATAGACAAAATTTATAATCAAAATAGTAACTTCAGGATATTTGGATTAAAATGAATATTCAACTTCACCTTTCTCCTTAAACTGGAATCAACATCAAACTATAAACAAAGGACTAAATACATTTGACTTCACTCATCTCTCTTTGGAATCATTTACACTTTGAAGACGTTTTAAACATGAGAGAACATTCAAATGCGAATTCAAACGGTAGGACACAGACCAGTGATGGCAAACTAACCTGTGCAATGATTACAAAGTACTTGCATTATATGTTCAGAAAGTGTCCTTTTATAAATCATAAAAACAAATATTTGATAAATTTCAAAACTTTGCATGTGTAGTCTAAAAGCAGAGTTCTAAAGCTGTCATAGAAAGTCTTAAAACTAATTATGAACTCTTATCAAATAAATAACAAATTTCCCATTTAATAAAATATTTGTTTCCATTATAACCAGATCACAAATTTTCACTGGCATCTGCCTGTCTGTCCCTCCCTACTTAACTCCTTAATCTCGAGAACTAAGATGAATGTCAAGACCAGATAAGGAAAGCTTAGGGCAAAAGGCACTAATTAACTATACGAACCACTAGTCTGAAGCCTGAATTTACATGATTTCAATTCAAAAATTCTCCAGAACATAGATAGATGAACTAGTATGACTATTGTTATCAGGAAAAGTGTGATGTACAGGGGCAACATACTATCAATATTAAAATCCAGAGCATGTATTTTAAATTAAATAAATTAAACATATGATTTAAAATTGCAGTCTGGCATTGTGACAATATCACAATAATTTTGTTGATTTTTTTTCTTTTCACTGATGTAGAGTTTATTGTTATTTTTTTTAATTATTCATATTAAATAGTTAATCAATGATTTGGAAATCAACACTATCCAGAACCTGTCACCAGTGTGTTTTGTGAATGATACAGTTTATCACTAACGTTTTCAAACTGTTAAATAGTTCCTCAGATGAAATATATTGAATAATCACTGGAACACATCAAAATACAAAATAGAATGTGAATACTCAAATTAAATTGAACGAAAGTTTGACAAAATTCGTTACGATGAGCATTGCATTATGTGAGTGGATGGTGGTAATTAAAGGTTAGCATCCATAAGGGCCTGCCAGGCAACAGATAAGGAGGAGCTAAATTTATCTGTTGCCTGGCAGGCCTTTATGGATGCTAACCTTTAATTACCACCATCCACTCACATAATGCAATGCTCATCGTAACAAATTTTGTCAAGCTTTTGTTCAATTTAATTTGAATATTCACATTCTATTTTGTATTTTGATGTGTTCCAGTGATTATTCAGTATATTTCACCTGAGGAACTATTTAACAGTTTGAAAACGTTAGTGATAAACTGTATCATTCACAAAACATACTGGTGACAGGTTCTGGATAGAGTATTGATTTCCATACCTGGTGTTGATGTGTTGTTGATCTTCATGTTTAATGATTTGGAATTACTAAATTTTGAATTCAATGACGTAGACTCTGAAAATAGACAAGTTCTTACTCCTTTGTTTTTCAGTTTGGTATTATTGACTTCAGTTTAAGTAGAAAGGAAAGTGTGAGGTTTTGATATTATAAAGTTAATTGATATGATGAAAATACATTAGGTGTTGCAATTTAAAATCTGAATAATAAACAGAATTAATCAAAAGATTCTTCCCAACAAAACAAATTTCTTTTTGTTGATAGTAGTAGTAACTTAGAATTACAGCTAAATTTAACAATAGAAATATCATGATTTAATTTACAGTATCTCTCATAGAAAATAAGCCATTATTAACATTGCAACAGTAAACTAAGAATAAAAACATATGTTTGGTGTTGTTATTTAATATTAGACATGTAAATCAGTGATAAACAACCTATGGCCTGCACAAAGCCTAATACACTAGGACTTTGAAAATAAATTTAATTTTCTTGTTTTCTGTCTCAAGTCATTATGCAACTCTAAGCTGATATTTGCAACAAAGAACATTCAAACTAAACTCAGAAATTAAAAAGATAAAGATAAACTTTATAATTCTAATTTGCATATCTTTAGCATATATTATTTTAGTACCTAGTATCCTAGTACATGCAGCATGCTGGAAGCATACAAAGTCCATTTGCAGCCCACATCCAGACAAGGTCTTTTGTCACCATTGTAAATCACCAGAAAGAAATGTCTAATTCTGTCAAATATTTCAGTTACACAGTTTCCTCATTATAAACTATAAAATAAAAAAAATTATTTGCCATGTAATTGCCACATATCTAAGCTATGAAGTAACTAGCATTATTATTAGTGATGCCATGAATAGTGATTTTGCCGAATACAATATTCAGCTACACTCTCAGCCGAAGTGCTGAATAATGATTGGTTTACCGGTATACCGGTAAATTTACCAGTAATTAATTTTCATACCGGTATTTTGGTTAAAAATCCTTTTAATTAACCCGATATTTATTTTCCTAAAATTTCCATGGGTATTTTCTGTGGGAAGCAGATTTCTTTTTTGTCTCCATACTATAGCAAGAAAACAGTGCAGATGGTGATGGGTCATTCCATTTGTAAGGTTAACGTAAGACTTTGCCACCCATTTGTTAAAAAATTTTGTGATGATTCATTGATTCCCAATGCAACCATTTCCATTTTTTCCTCTGACTGCCATTGATGGCCCAATATTCCACTCTCTTACTCATTTGTTTTGGTCATTCATTTTGTCATTCCATTTGTTAGGCTTAACATGGAGGAAAATTCAACGCAAAGTAGGTTAATAGCAATATACTAATATACTAATTACATGGGATATAATAATATACTACACTAATAATGGATTTTTTCATACTTTTTGGTTATCCGACTTTTCAATTATCCAACCAACCCCAGTCCCCAATTGAGTCGGATAATCGATGCTCTACTGTATTATATTAGTTACAATGGAACTCTTATACAGTGAACAGGCAAAGGACTAATAGTTTTTGTTCATTGTATCCAAAGTTCACTATAACCATGTATCAAAAGAACAATTAAAATGCATTGAAAGATGCAATAATAAACTCAATATTTAGTAGAACTGCATTTATGAAGCACTTTTATTGACCATTATGACTAATTTTGTACAAAGGCCATTTTTAAATAAGGTCTGTGTTTTAATAAGAAAAATACTGTAAATACTATTAAAATATATTTTTTCCCATATTCTACATAGTTTTTTCTACTTTTCTACATAATTTCCATTTATGTTCATATATTTCTCGTACCACTCAACAATTTTTTTAATTCTGACTTCAAAGAAATCTGCTGCCTGTCAAAAAACCGAATCCATGACTGCAGTTTTCACTTTGTTGTCATTGAATCGTTGACCACCAAAAAACACCTTTATGTATCGAAACAAGTGAAAATTACTGGATGCAAGATCTGGACTGTAAGGTGAATGATCCGGTTGTTTCCATCCAAAAGAACTGATTAGACCTTGTGTTTATGCAGAAACATGTTGCCTTGCATTGTCATGGAGCATCATCACACTGGAAGACAGTAAACCACACTACTTATTTTATATGGCACACCAGAATTTTCTCAAGGTCACACAATATGCATCAGAATTGATTGTTATGCCTCTCAGCATAAAATCCACTAACAAAATCCCTTTCCAGTCCCAAAAGACAGTTGCCATATTTTTTGTGCTGAAATTGTCTGGCTTTCACTTTGGTTGGTGAAGATGTATGTCATCATTCCATTGACTGTTGCTTGGACTCGGGAGTCATGTGAGACACCCAAGTCTCATCTCCTGTAACAATGTGGTCCAACAATTCATCTCCTTCCTGATTGTATCGAGTCAAAAATGATAAAGCACTGCCCAATATTTTTGTTTTGTGATCATCAGAAAGCAGTCTTGGAACCCACCAAAAACACAATTTTCGATAATTTAGTTTCTCCAAAACAATAGTATACAAAACTGATCTGAAACCTGTGGAAATTCAATTGATAACATTGAAATTGTGAATCATCGGTCCTCTCAAATTTTGTTATCCACATCATGAATCAAATCTTCAGAAATCAGAGAAGGTCGGCCTGGATATGGCTGCTCATCATGCACATTAACCCACCCATCCTTGAACATTCTCGCCCACTTTCGAACTTTATTGTCACTCATAGCATCATCACCGTAAACTTCATAAATCTGATGGTGAATTTCTGCTACTGCCAAGATTCTGCACTCAAGAATAGAATAACAGATCATATCTCACAGTCAGTGGGTAATTCATTATAAACTTCTACAGCTCAGCACACAGACAGATGATACGGCTGCAAATGGCATCTAAACACATGCCAAGCTTGCTCGGAACAAATGTGCATGCATACTGCCACAATCACACATCATTCTCACTCTCATTCACAAACATACCTTATTTAAAAAATAGCCCTTGTATAACTTTGAAAAAATTTCTAATTGACTTTTGTTTGTAATTATTTATAAGATTTTCATTTAGTACTTTCTCCAATTGACAAACATTGTTTAAGAATATATCTGCATCTTATTGTTTTTGAAGTTTGGCAAGTCTCCACATTCATATTATTTCCAGTGCCTTCTTGGCCTCTTTGGTACTCGGAATAGGAACAATTGCTTCACACTCACTTTCTTTTTATTCCTCCTCTTCATCATCATCCACTTTTTCTTCATTTGTAAGGACTCCTTCTTTACCAAGATCATTATCAAAACTGCAAATGTGATTCATTGGTTATGTTAATGTCAGTAACTAATATAGTACTCTACTTTTTAATAAACAACAAATGTTTACTGGGAAAAGGA